ATCTCTTCTTTTCTCAGCTATTTGTAAGGTCTCCTCAGACAACCACTTTGCCTTTTTGCATTTCTTTTTCTTGGGGGTGTCTTGATCACTGCCTCCTGTAACAGTGTCACAAACCTCCATCCATAGTTCTTCAGGCACTCTGTCTATCAGATCTAATTCCTTGAATCTATTTCTCACTTCCACTGTATAACAATAGGGATTTGATTTAAGTCATACCTGAATGGTCTAGTGGTTTCCCCTACTTTCTTCAATTTAAGTCTGAATTCGGCAATAAGGAGTTCATGATCTGAGCCACAGTCAGCTCCCGGTCTTGCTTTTGCCAACTGTATAGAGCTTCTCCATCTTTGGTTGCAAAGAATATCTGATTTTGGTATTGACCATTTGGTGATGTCCATGTGTATGGTCTTCTCTTGTATTGTTGGAAGAGGGTGTTTGCTATGACCAGTGCAGTCTCTTGGCAAAACTCTGTTAGCCTTTGACCTGCTTTGTTTTGTACTCCAAGACCAAATTTGCCTGTTACTCCAGGTATCTGTTGACTTTCTACATTTGCATTCTCGTCCCCTATAATAAAAAGGGTATCTTTTTTGGATGTTAGTTCTAGAAGGTCTTGTAGGTCTTCATAGAACTGTTCAACTTCAGCAACTTCGGCTTCTTCAACATTTCTGGTCAGGGCATAGACTTGGATTACTGTGATATCGAATGGTTTGCCTTGGAAATGAACAGAAATCCTTTTGTCATTTTTGAGATTGCATCCAAGTACTGTGTTTCAGACTCTTTTGTTGACTATGATGAATACTCCATTTCTTGTAAGGAATTCTTGCCCACAGTAGTAGATATAATGGTCATCTGAGTTAAATTCCCCCATTCCAGTCCATTTTAGTTCACTGATTCTTAAATTGTCGATGTTCACTCTTGCCATCTCCTGTTTGACAACTTCCAATTTGCCTTGATTCATGGACCTAACATTCAAGCTTTCTATGCAATGTTGTTCTTACAGCATCGAACTTTACTTCCATCACCAGTCACAGCCACAACTGGGTGTTGTTTTTGCTTTGGCTCCATCTCTTCATTCTTTCTGGAGTTGTTTCTCCACTGATCTCCAGTAGCATGTTGGGCCCCTACTGACCTGGGTAGTTCATCTTTCAGCTTCCTATCTTTTTGCCTTTTCATATAGCTCATGGGGTTCTCAAGGCAAGAATACTGAAGTGTTTTGCCATTCCCTTCTCCAGTGGACCACATTTTGTCAGAACTCTCCACCATGATCCATCTGTCCATCCAGAAAGTATTAGAGAGCAAAAAGGAGTCTGATCTTTGACTGTCAGTGTGCCTTTATTTTCCCAGGTTTGTTTATTTATCCTAAATTATTCTTGTTCTAGAATAACTTCCCTCCCTCCCATTAAAGCTCTGAGTTATCTCACACTTCTTAATGATGTCTTTTCCATGTGGGGGAAAATACTTTAAAAGAAGTTTTCTAGAAAAATATTTTTTGTGCTACTTTCCTAAAAATATAACTTAATTTTACTCTCTCAGAGTTGATTCTAGAGTATATATGCCACATATAAACTGATTTAGCTCATAAGTATTGAAAGAAAATATTGTGTAGAATTTTAAAATAAGAAGTATTACAAATGCATGATATGCTGGATTTCATTACTAGTAATCATATAATATACCATACCAAGTACAATTCATAGACTTAGTTTTAAATTCAGTTCTAATAAGTAAGTGGATTTGAGCCTTTTGGAAGCAAAGTTGAAGCACTAATCCAATCTTCACTGCCATAAAAATTAAGGCCAGTCTACTTCCTTGGTACTAATGATGAGGCTAAATAGTGTATACATTTTTATTTACATATTCAATAATATGATGCTCTGTTCAGTGAATGATGTTCTTCTGCCACTTGGTGGTGCTTGCCAGTTTCAGAATTTGTTCTTGGTGGCACTGTAGCACTAAGTACAAAGTAAGCTGAACAAAATCACAGCATTCCTACTGGAAAGGTTTTGCTTCAAACTGTTTAATAATTTAAAGAACCTCTGTGGAAGCAACTGCATTTGTTAACCAGTCACAACCAGCAATTTACTCCTTTGGAGTTTTAAGTTACTTTGGGAAAAATGTCTTAGGAACAGTACATATTATTAGAGAGCATGCCAAAAATTTACTTAGCAGAGAATTCAATAACAATTTCACTCGGCTAAGAGGTTCTGTAAAATCCTACATCTATAGCCAAGCACTCATACCCTAGCAGGTCCTGTTTCATTATCATAATTCCTGGGTAAACACTTTGAAGAACTTTGCCTTCAGTTTCAAGCATGACTTATTTTCATAAGCCTGATTAGTTACCACACCAGCCTTACTATGGAAAATGACATGTCCTCACTTTGAACTGGGGAGTTGTTCAATCTTAATCTACATTAGGCGTGTGTCTCTGTTGCCCTCTCTGCCAAAAGACTGCAGGGAAAAGACATCTCTGATTCCTTGTTTTTGTGATATCCGCTGACAGTTCTATCTAATGGGTATTCCGTTTCCTTAATTTTTAGTTGCACTGTCTAGAAGCCGATTTTCTGATGCCTCCAATGTCTGGTCAAATTGATTTGTTTTAATGGAGCCTTAGTCTGTAATGAGCGCGATGCCACCGACTAGAATCCTGGGATCTGCTGCTTAATTGCCAGGAGCAGACACACACAGATTCAGAAATCGTTGGAGGTGGACGGGGGGATGTGGAGAGGGATCTCGGGGCGGAGGCGGAGATGTAAGATAAAGGGATGAGTTTCACACAGGATAAAGGGGGAAAAAAAAAGATTTATTTGAGGCACTGAGGTGTTGCACGATCACATCTCTCAAAGGAGAAGTTAAAAAGCATGGAAGTGGGAGGAGGTTGGAGGTTAAAGTACTTAAAAGGATAGCTCGGGTACAATTTGTTTTTCTGGTGGTACTGCAAAGGACAGATAGCCCCTGTTTTCAAAGTGTATTGGTGCCTCTTTTAAGTGATTGAGAATGGACACTAATTGCCTGAGGCGCTGTCACCAAATGTTCTAAATTCAGGGGACACAAGAGAGACAGAAAGGTGAGGTTTAAAAGAAAAATAAAGGAGGAGATGAGGGTTCTTGAAAGAAAGAGAAGGAAAAACATAAAGAAGAAAGAGGAAGGGAGGAAGGCAGGGAAGAAGAAAGGGAGGGATGGAAGGAAGGAGCGGAGGAAGGGAAAGAGAAAGGAGGCTACGGGAAGAGAAGAGGAAAAAAAAATCCTGAACCACAGAACAGTCGCAGAATAGAACACTGAACGATCACACAGAAAGCTCATTCAAATCAGTGTGCAACGGCGACCCGGGTCACGAGAGAAAAACGCTCCTCTGCATCCTTGTCCCGGGAAACTCCGGGTCCCCTTCGTTACTAGAGACTAAAATGCCGTTAGGCTAACCGCCTGAAGAATGCAGCAGACGGAAGGCGGGTCTCAGCACGCCGTTTGCCGGCGCTGGCTGGGGCCGGAGAATGAAAGGCGCAGAACCAGAGACTCGCAGAATGAGACCTCCTTGCCACCTCCAGGTTGCTGGAGAGCCAGTAAAGACCCGCGTAAAGCTCCGAGGACCACTACCCGCGCCGCCTAAGGCAGCCGCTCTTTTCAGACGCCGCAACCCGCGGATGCGCCTGGCAGTCCGCCGTGGCTGATGCAGAGAGCAGCCTTTCCTTCCTCCCTCTGACCGCTTGTCCCAACCCATCCTGACCTCCGAAACACATTTGCCCGCACCTCCCAGGCAGCCACACAAACAGGCTACCGGCTGCAAAAGAGTGTGTGGTGGGGAGAGGGCTTTCAGACCCCCAGCTCCTCGGGTAGACTCGGGGTTTCAGGGAGCCAGGGAAGGGAATAGAGAGAGAGAGAGAAGAGAGCGGGGAGAGCCTGGCTGGCTGGTTGAGGCAGCTTGGCGAGCAGCCTTAGATTCGCAGGCTTCTGTGGGAACGGCTGCTGCTTCCAGGCCAGCCTGAGCTGTTCTCACACCACCGCCTCTCACCCTTTCCTGCTTCCTGCTACTCCCTAGAGAAACGTCCGTGGGCTCTCCGCTGCGATATTCCCAGCCTGTATCCCGTCACAGCCAGGCGGCGCGCTCCCGTAAGCTGGAGCGCCGGGCGCCAGCAGGACGCCCTCTCCTCGGCGCCCGCTTTCCCCTCTCCTGTCTGCAGCGACCGCTCCTCGGCCACCTCCACCCTCGCCAGCTCCAGCTCCGAGAGACGCCACCCAGACGCGGCGGGCGCTAGCAGCCCGGGGTCACGCACAGAAGAGGGGCGCTAGATCTGACCCAGCGCTCGGTAGGGGGCGTCCTGGGGCAGAGAGTGAAACAGCAGGTGGTATTTAAAGGTGTGGGAGTCGCCTGCCCTGCAGCCCGCAATTCTCGCTCGAGCCATCCCCGCCTTGCTCCACTCGGGCCAGCGCCTGGTGAGCTAGCCCATCTGTGGCATCCGCCGTCGTCTCCTCCTAGCACCTCCTCACCGACCCCTCCCTCCCGGGACCTGCATCCCGCTCAGCCAATCAACGCCCGACTGCCAGTTGCCACGTGATCCCGGGCGGGCTAAGGACCTGCTGCTTCCCAAACGCCAGAGGGATGCGGGCAGCAGAGCGCGAGAGGCGGCTGCTAGGCTGCGGGGCGCTTTGACTCTCCCTCCACCCAGTTTCTCTGGGCTCCTCTCGTCTGCTCTCTGGACTCCGGTCTCCTCTTGCTGACCTGGCTTGCCAGAGCCCTCTGCTTATGGCAGCAGCTTCCCGCGTCCCCGGCGCAGCTTTTCCGTGGACGACCCTCTCGCTCCCGGGGCTGAGCCGGGTCACTGGATGTTGCTGAAACTCTGGAGATCATGCACGGGTTTGGCTGCTGCTTCCCCGTCAGGTGCCACTGCCGCCGCCGCCGCCTTTGCTGCCGCCGACCGCGGGATGCTCAGTAGCCCGCTGCCTGACCCCCGCGATCTTGCGTTCTCCCGAAGCCGTTTGCTGCTGCAGAGTTGCGCGAACTAGTCATGGTGCTGTGGGAATCCCCGCGGCAGTGCAGCAGCTGGACACTTTGCGAGGGCTTCTGCTGGCTGCTGCTGCTACCGGTGATGCTACTCATCGTAGCCCGCCCGGTGAAGCTCGCAGCTTTCCCTACCTCCCTAAGTGACTGCCAAACGCCCACCGGCTGGAACTGCTCTGGTAAGTCCGAAACCCCAGTCCCCGACCTCTTAGCCCCGCAGAGGAAACGCGCTGTTTCCGGCACAGACCAACCTACCCAAGTGCGTCTCCCCAGCTCCTCTGCTCCAATGCTCCCAAACCTTTGAGACCACCAACCTCCACCCAGAGGAGAACTGTTCCAGGCCGCCAAGGAAAGGGGCGGGGGTCCTGAGGTGGCGGTGCACAGAAAGTGCACCTTAAATTGCACTTAAATTGGAGCTGCGGAGATTTCAAGAAATAGTAAACGAGGAGGTTTTGTGGATTCACTGAAAAGAGGACCAGTCCTTGAAGAAACACTAAATCAGAACCTCTTCTGTCGTTAAAGAAAGAAGTCTAGCTGAAACCAGAGAGAAATAACTTTATGAGCTAGAACGAGCAAGAAAGCAATAAATCAGACGGTGACTGCAGGGGAAACATTGATTGCTAGCAAAAGTACCATGAGAGTGCACTTGTCTGGCATTCAAGACCGGGTCACACATTCTAGAGGAGCTTGGATTTCCAAGATATTCAGTTTCTCTCAGCCCCTCTACCCCCTCCCCCACTCGCATATACATCTCCTTCTCTACTTGGCTGCAAAAGACGTTCTTTTTGCTTCACCGAGATGCCTCCCTCTTGCCTCTCCTAGCTCCTAAATGGTCGAAGGAAGTTGAGACAAGAATCTTTCGTCCGTCTCCCAGGCCGGGGTGGGTATGACCGAGGCCCGGCAGGCTCACGCCTAGGCGGGCGGAGGGCGGAACCGACCCGAGTGGGCGCCGGCTCCTCCATTTCTGGGCAGGCTTCCTTGGAGTGCATCAGGCGCTTTTCTTTCTTGCTTGGGTCCCTTCAGAGTCTGAATGCGGGAGCTTGGCAAGCTTGGTTCTGCTAAAGTCTCCTAATTAAATAGGGGCCGAGGATAGGAGTTGCTGCACTGTCTTCGCCTTTCAGCTTGACAGCCCATAACTACCGGCGCGATTGTGGTGTTTTGGGCATTTTAAACTCCATTAGCATGCCTGGGTATTGTCCCCTAGGTCTGGTCTGTTCTAGTTTTAGCCAGTGTGTATGTAATTTTTCATCTCCTGTATATATAATTCTGCCGAAGTTGAATCTAGCTCTGAATAAAGTGGCTTTTAGGGATGCATGCGAGCTGAAGTGTGTGTAACTTTGGAGAAGAGAGAATGACCAACTGTAACTCATGGGATAAAAGAATATGCCATGCTGGGTACTGACTGATGTAAATTCCACGAGGAAAATTATTATACATCATGTGGCTTGTGCTTTTTAAAGAAGAGTTGAAATTTGTAACCCTGTTAGATTTGGGTCAATATATTGCCTTTGTTCCATTTTGGGGAATTTCTAAATTTGGCATTTTTATAAAGCTAAATGTGTTTTCTTTAACTTACTCATGGCTCGTGCATGCATCTATGTTATTTTGGAAAGACTAAGTCCCACTTTGCGGGTACCCAATCACTTTTTAGGTGCTTTATCGTAGGAATATTAAGCAACCTGCCAAATCAATTATTGAAATGTTGATAGATTTGTAACACAACATGACTAGTTTGCTTCATCCCTAACTATAGTACTGTTTTAGGAAATAACTAACTTAAATATGAAATTAAGGATGACAGTTAAGAAATTCATTATTACCAGATACCTAACAGGAATTTGGAGAAACTAAAGAAAATAAACTGGTTTTCCAGGCAGATTGTCAAGAACCTGGTATCCCCTCTACCCATGATAACTTGGAGGTGATCAATCTTTGTTTGAGTCAGACAGACCATCAGAAAAAGCACTGTGCCTGTTTATCTTTATTATTGGAGCTTTGTTTCCTCTTTGTCTGGAGAAATTCCAAATAAGGGGTTGTTGCAGATCTTAAAGCAAAAGAATGATTAAAAATGGAGGAATAATGAAAGGACATTCTGAGAACCATCGCCAACTCTTTTCTAAAATGTGAAGTTTGCGGGTCATAAACTATAGTCTACTTAATGAGAAAAAATAATGAAACTACGAAGCAATGTTAAATATTCACTTACCACTACCAGTATTAACCCAAACTAAAATAAAATATCATCATCAAAAAAAAAAAAGAATATTCAAAGACAACTGACTAGAAAAGAATTGTGAAAGAGAAACTAGTATTAATCACTTAACTATAATTTTTTTAAGGTTATCAGTAAAGAATGACCTTGTAGTACAGCTGTGGTTGTTGGAATTGAAATTTAGGGCAATTCTTTTAAAGCTTCAAGATATTTCTTTTGTTATTGTTGTTGAAGTCTGTAACATTTAATGACTGGCATGTTCTCTTTAAATTTGAGGTTATGATGACAGAGAAAATGATCTCTTCCTCTGTGACACTAACACCTGTAAATTTGATGGGGAATGTTTAAGAATTGGAGACACTGTGACATGCGTCTGTCAGTTCAAGGTAAGAAATCTGATATTTGCATCTTCTAATTTACTCATGAGACTGCAAAACAGAGATCTTCTTTTACAGCCCATCACTTGGCAATTTATAGCTATGCAAGCTAAGAGGAAAGCTGGCATCAAACAAAAGTACTGGCAAGAGAGCCAACTGATGTCAAAAAGACACAGCTTTTTGGATATATGTGCCATATATATATATGTGCCATATATGTGCCATAGTTATAAATGCCACTGGGGGTAGAAAGCTTCGGATTGTCCTTTTGGTGTATCAACAGAAAAGTAGGTTTCTGTGTCCCTTCTAACATGCATACTGTAAGTCAACATAATAGCCAAAATTGTTGTTGGATTAGAAATGGATTTGTTCTGTTGATCGAAGCTATCTTCTTTGGATCATATTGCTCTGTTTTAATGGTATTGGATTTTATTATTTTGGCAATCTAGTTGAGTTTTTAAATGAATTCCTTATCAGTGTGACTTCAAAACTACTGTGCTAGTTTGGAAATCATGACACTTAGTACTTGTCAACTTTTCATGGATACCACATACAATTACAATTCCTAGGAATCTGAAAGAATGCAAATAAACAAAACTCATTTCATAAATCTGAGGAAAATGTGCTTTGCCTAATGTTAAAAAAACATAAATAAAAATTAAAAGAGAGCTTGCCCAGTGATGTTATCAAAACTGGATTATTAGTATTTTTTAAAAGAGAGCTCAATGTCATTATTATAGTCGTCATCCAACAAATGCTTTCTACCATGTGAATGTTAAAACTTTTCTTTCAGTATGTTTTTTATAATTCAAGTATTATAGATGCTTACTGATATCTTAAAGTGTTATTGAATTACTTTTTAAAATACACATGAAATCTAAGATAAGTTTCAATCAGAAAATATTCCCATTAAGGAAACTATATACTGGAGATAACAAAAACGTTTCCAAGATTGTAAGCAAAACTTGAAAAAAAATCAAAAAGGATATAAAACAAATAAAATATTAGAACTCAGCTTCAAGTCTAAAATATGTCACAGTGCAATGGTTACTCAGTATCCACTCAGTATCCATAGGTCACTCAGTATCCACCACCACAAGTACCAAAATCCGAGGATGCTCAAGTCCCTTATATAAAATTATGTAGAATTTATATATATAACCTATGCACATCCTTATGTACACTTTGTCATCTCTAGATTATTTATTATATAATATATAGGCAATCTAAACATTGTAAATACAAAGTAAATACAAATTAGTTGCTGGTAAGTGGCATATTCAAGTTTTGCTGTTTAGAACTCTCTGGAATTTTTTTTCTCGAATATTTTCAATCTGAAGTTGGTTGAATCTGTGGATGTAGAAGCCCCAGATTTGGAGGGCCAACTATATGTAGTATTTAGAATTGTTGATGAAATTAAAATATTTTAGATTAACGTCACCTCCCAGTGATAGAGAGAAGGCAATTCACATTTAAATATGGTTTGAATGGCTTATAAATAAGCTAAAAACTTCTCAGACATTATTTTTTTCTTTCCAAGAAAATTAATAAACAGCTGATACTTGTACAGTGCCCCACCACCTGGTAGGTACGTATTGCTGTGCCCATACTATAGTCTTTAAACCATACTAGAGTATTGGAAACATTCATGCATATTTAATATTCATGCATACCAATTTCTAAGGTCTCCAGCCATACTGAACAATTTAATTATGTTCTTTCAGTGAACTGCTTGAGAGAGATGGAGCATAAGAACCCTGCAAGTCATACTTTCCTCAAGCGTTAACTGAGAGGAAAATAAGTTGGATAAGTTATTAATTAAAAGCCCACAGGATTTTGTCAGGTTTTTTCTTTTTAGTTTGTAATTCCCAGAAATATATCTTATTCTTGTAACCAAGGGTAGACATAAGATGTGAACCCATGAATGATATAAAATGGACCAAGAAGAATGTTCCTCAAATGGAAAGCCATAATTATAACAAGATTTCACCAAGAGGGAAAAAAAAACGGAATTCATAAAATTAAAAATGGATGCATGTTACTAAGAGAAAATGTATAATTTTCTTTCTAGAGAAATTGCATTCAGTTTTCAGGTTGCACAAGGGTTTTAGTAAAGCTTTAATCAACAAAGATATTTGTTTTTTATGCATTTGGTTAGCCAGTTACATTTGTCATTAATTTAGATAATCGTTAAGTGGGATAGATTGCCGGGGACAGGGCTGGGGGAGTGAATGCAAGTTTGCATAAGACACTAAAATGTAAATTTTCTTTTCCTAATGCCTGTAGCATTTTAAATTTACTACTAGATTATTGCTGCTACTAGTTTGTGCTTTGCAATAGCTGTCAGTCTGTCAGGTGAAAATAAACATTTCCCTAGTGGAAAATTTAGACTCTGCACGTACCAGGAATATAGAGTGGCTGAATTAAGTTCAAGATCAAATAAAATGTACAAGTTGTGCAAAGAAAAATAGATAAGATATTTTAAGCTAGGAGTATCTTGACTCAGTGTTTCCAATACTTTCAAATGAATTTGAGAATTTTTTTCTATTTTGCTCAGTCTGATGAAAAGGCAGATGTCCTGAAAAATCCATTTTCCTATATACTGTTCTAAATCAGCTTAAGTCATCTACTCTCTTTCTCCTGATTTCAGATACAAGTCCAAATTCTTCTATTCAAAATGGTGTGAAAACTATGGTTTCTGGCTGAGAGATAAACTTCAAAGAGTATTGGGTATATGTGTGTGTAATTGATGTTTTCCAGTTTGAATTACTATTGGAACATTAAGGTGAACAAATATTTATCTTCACCTCTCTTAGGTGATTTGTAATAATCATATTCTACGATTCAAACATGTTATCTCACTTATTTCTCATATCTGAGTGAGGTAATTATTTTCTCCTCCTTTTACAGATGAGGAGATTAAGGCTCATAAATATAAATAACTTACAACTAAGTGGTGATCCTACAGCAAGAATCTAGGTCCTTTGACACCAAATCTAATTTTTTCTAGGACATTATGTTGTTGTTGTTTAGTTACTGTGCATGAGATTTTCCAGGCAACAATCCTGGAGTGGGTTTCCATTTTCTTCTCCAGGGGATCTTCCTGACCCAGGGATCGAACCTCCGTCTCCTACATTGGCAGGCATATTCTTTAGTGCTGAGCCACTTGGGAAGCCCACATGCAAATAAAAACATTAATAATAACAACAAAAGTGCCAATTTATTATACACAACTTGATATCAAAAATAGTACAACTAATTCTTAGATGATGATACAAGTTCCATAAATAGCCTGCAATTTCATGCGCCTTACCTTGGTCTCTGCATACCAAATGGTATCCTGGTCATTCTGGTAAATAACCATGGGATGAAAATTTAGAGACAGTGGATGGACAAAGGGCTGGCTAGTTGGCTGGCTGGCTGGCTGAATGAATGGATAAAAGAAGGAAGAGAGGAAGAAAAGAAGTCACAGATGCATCTATTCATAGATAGCACTGATCATATCAACTAATATGTAATGGTCAATGATCACTTTATAATTTAAAAATATGGTGAAGCCTTATGTTTTACAAGTATCATTTAATTTGATTGTTTTCACTGAATAAGCCACGCTCTAGATCTACAATAGTTCCAGTAACTAGAATTGTAGAACAAATTGCCCAGAACTTAGTGGCTCAAAACAATGAACATTTATTTTGCTCATGAATCTGCAGTTGGACAGGGCTTAATGGAAGCGTCTTATCTCTGCTTCTCTTGGCATTAGCTGAGTTGGGGGAGGGAACTCAGAGGCTTGGTTCTGTACTGTCTCAGGATTCACTCATATACTGGACTGTCAACTGGGGACTTTGGTCCTTCTCCATGTAGATCTCTCTGTTTGGACTAGTTTGGGCTTCCTCATAGCACAGTGGCTGGGTTTAAAGGGCAAGCGAGCATCCAGAGAATGAGAGAAAGATCCAGGCAGAGGCTACATCCTTTAATGACCTAGCCTCAGAAGTCATATGAGTCACTCTTACCATAATCACAGGCCTGCCCACTCATTTAAAATCATAAAAAATTTCCATATGGAAAAATGTAGTCACAGAGAAGTAAAAGTTACCTATGGAATGATCAAAGGATTGGGATATATGCAGGTTTTTTTATCTCTTGCTTTTTTGGAAGAGAAACACACCATATCCTAAACCATTATCCCTAAGCCTTTGACAAGTGGGAATATAACAGAATTCACTTAACATCTGTGGAGCACCTTCTACATGCCAGACTGGGGAGGTGCCGACAACATATAAAATATAAGTTATGCATAGCTCCTAGATGCTGAAATCTCAGTTAAAAGAAATTCTTATTAATCAAACAAGCAATAAATCATATGAAAAACTTCTCACATGAATTTTTTCTTCATTTGTAGCAAAACAAATTCCATATATTCTAGAGCATCAAGTCATTGAATTCACTGGTGTAACATGTTGCTGCTTTCTTAAGCAATGTGGAAATTTTGGAACAAAATCATTCACTGAAAAACACAAAGTTGGAAAATAAACTTAAGATTTTTAAAACATCTGAAGGAAAGCAGAATCACTTTTCCCCTGAGAGGAAGTTTGGACAACACATACATTTATGAGCTTAACCATCTGGGCTTGAGTCTTGTTTTTCTCTCTTACCAGCCAACAGTGTGGCCTTTAGCAAGTCACCTAACATCTGAATCTGTCCCTTCCTCTGAAACTGAGCAATATTCATGGTTGCCACTTAAAAAAAAATAATAATTATTTTCAAAATTAGGCATATTTTAATACAGTAGTAAGCTCGTTTTTATACATAGGGTTAGCCTGTTTTCCTTTATTTTTCCAGTTTTAGACATGCATGCCTTGGTGTCCATGTTAGATGGTAACTCTGCTAGTTAAAGTATATAGCATGGAAGGCAAATAATTTACATTTCTTTTTATAAATGAATATTCCAAAGCATTTTGAAACATGACTCAGTTAATCCTCCCAAATGCCCCAGTTAACCATTTCAAATGGGGGAACTGAGCTATAAACTTGTTAAATATTTTATTGCTGAGTGATATACACAAGGTCCTACACTCAGAAATGGGAGAACATGGGACGAGACTTCCACTCCTAAGCCTTAGTGATTTAGAGTATACTTCCTCCGTGTGTTATTCATTTTAATGAGTGCAAGTCACGGTACTAAGGGCCAAAAACAGCGTGCTGATAATCTGCAGTTAAGCTCTTTTCAACTCCATACAAATCTCCCTTTTGGCTTGTGCATGGAGCTTGGCAGCTCCATTTTTAGCACTGTTCACATTTGGCTTACTCCATCCCTCAGAAGTGGCATATGAGCACTTTATCAGTTTATTTCGTATTTTAAGATGCATATAGCATTGTGTATTAGCACTTGACAGAGGTAATAAATACTTCCTACCCCTCACTCCCCATCTACTGACTATATCTGAATAATCTACAGAGGTAGATGAAAAGCATAAATAGAGAAATTCTAGGGATTACAAAGAAGAAAATGTGGATCCAGATCATCTACACCCAAAATATTGTAACCAGGGTTGAAGATGAAGATTTAAAGGTAACCCAGAACAAGAATGCTAGGACCCAAGAGTGAGGAGCTAGCTAGCCCAGCCATTTGCAGTGATGTGACTGTCATCAGCCTCCTGAAAGGGTCAGCAAGTCTGCTGACTCTGTTACCAGCTGTTCACGTCTTTCTGGTCTGTCTTCCATGTTCTCAGTAGCCTGTCCTCGTAAATCCTCCCTACATTGTCCTGTCCCTGATCCTGAACACAGCCCATGTATCAAACACTGGTCCATCCACCTGCCTCCCTGGCCACAGTTCTGACATCAGCACCACTCACATTGATTTGATGTCTCTGCAGTACTGTTTATTGGAAAACTTAACTCTTTACTGACATTTTTTATTGTCTTTTTTTTTTTCAATAGTGATAAAAATGTTCAGTTTTATGGTGGGTCAATTTTCAGGTATATGTATGTTTGGAAAGTGAGTTGCCTATTGAATTAAAGATCCTCATGAGTGAAAAGTTCCTATCAAAATAGTTTTCAAATATAATAATGTAGATAGCCTGAGTACATGAGCCATATAATGTAACTATGGAAAGGAATAGAAATTTCCAAAATGAATAGACTAGAAACTAGAAATAAAGATTTTCAAAATATGTCATATTTAAAATGTTTCAATCTAATCATATTCAAATAATTTCTAAATAGATATAATTTGGTATCTAAATTACCTTGTTAGCAGTTATGGTGATTATGAGTGTCATACAATTTGAATTTACTATTGGGAAAATACTATGTAACTATTAGTGAAAAATTATATTTAAGTTTTTCAATAACAGATGCAAAGTCAGACTCAAAAAACTTTCGTTTCAGAGAACATTGTGTTATATCATTTAAAAAATGGTTTGAATCTATTATTTCATAAAGGCAAAGGGTAAGAGCTATGGTTGATTGGGAAAGGAAGTACAGATATGTTAAGAAAATAGAGTGAGAAAATGAACCTCAGGTTTATCATCAGGTTATAACTGTGTTTAAAATTTGCTTTTTTGCGTAAAAATCCTTGAGTTGAATTTAACTTTTGAGAGATTTTTGGAAATATTATTATAAAAATTAAAACACTAGCTATTTTGCTAAATCATTGGTTTGCTTTATATGTTATGAATTAGCAGATCAAAAATCCAAGTATTTTAATAAGAAGTAGAAAACAGAAAAGCATTTTCACATGCATGTATATGCATGATTTCCCTTACTGTACTTAATTTCTGGCATGGGTATTTATAAATAATTGTTTTGATCATTACATTTGTTATAATTAAACAATGTAGCCCATCAGTAGTAGTAATCATGAGATAATCATATTGCTGGTGTAATTAACAGGTATAGAACACAGCCAAGTATCTCTAAGGCCTTACAGTGTGATTATGCTGTAATGAGTATACCCTGTAGGTTGCCTGATTACCATTATAAAATGTGTACATTTTTGGAAGGAAGTTGTTTTAAAATGAACTTTTCACTTTATGAAATATACATTAATTCTCATACTTTTGAATAGTCAATCAAGTTAACATATGGTTCAGTAGTTGACTTTTTTTCTGTATTACATAGTCTGTTGTTTCTTTCTACACTGTATCTCTGTCAATATCCAATGATATAAAGATATATGAACCTTTAATTAGTAACTCAGATGTCTTATCCAAATATTTAGGAATTTGTAAAGATTCAAATTCAACAGAGGAACAACATACTAAAGAGTAACTGAGTTCTTTGGCATTTCAACTATATACTTCTGCTCCAACAACAGATAGACACTATTTTTGAATATCTAGGATGTCATAACATGTTCTCATTTTTTCCACCAAGCCAGATGGGCCATATATCAGAAAAAAAAAGTTAATAATATTGATACTTTTGTTGGTATATCTTTGTATTATTTCTTATCCTATCACTTTCTTGGGTTTTCCTGATTTAGAAGCTGATTTCCCCCCATCTGAATCAGATGACCAGTTGACTTACTGGACATTGCTTTTGTATATCTTTGAATGATATTCTTACAAGGTCAAAGACTTGCTGGATACAATGGGGATCACTGAAAATGAAGACAAGTGCTTTCTTTTGTAAATGATGATTTCTGTTCAAGATGTCAGAGGCATGTAGACTCCAGTACTAACCACAGGCTTACATCTGTGTCCTCCCCAGTGCAACAATGACTATGTGCCTGTGTGTGGTTCCAATGGGGAGAGCTATCAGAATGAGTGTTATCTGCGGCAGGCCGCGTGCAAACAGCAGAGTGAGATACTGGTGGTGTCTGAAGGATCGTGTGCCACAGGTTTGTATGTCATCCTGATGACTCCTGAAAACCTTTGGAATGGATACTGAATCCAAAAACCATGTCTTGCTTTTCCTGTTATGTCCTGTTTATTATTATCCAGATAAATAATTTGACTATATATTGGCTAGACAAGCCTCTTATACTTTTGTACCAAACATGCGTTATTCCTATTCTATGTCTGTTTACATTTCAAGTTATTTCTGGAAGAAAGATAAATCTACCAAAAGGATGTTGGTAGATTTTAATACCTATATTATTTAATGAAGTACAGACAGTTGAATAACAATTAAAAATCTAGATTGCTCAGCTGCCAAATATATATAAAGTAATCTATGCAGGAATAAATTGTGTTTGTTTGATTGTTTGTAACAATAGGATTGTTTTCTGGAGGACAGGCAGATTGCAGATTTGGATTTGAAGGTTAAAATGTACCTAATCTTAGCAGCTCTACAAAATTCTGTAGAGCAGCATTACATTGAACAGATTACACTGAAGAATATATTGGGGACAAACATGACTTCTAAAGACATCTGTCCTTTCTAGAACCACTAGTGAGCCTGGGATCCCACGAAACTTTTTAGTTATACTGTACCAAGAATGCTCTAAAGAAAGGAAGGACAAAGAGCACCTTCATGTGCTCTTTAGTTTTTCAGGTCTTCCTTCTGCATACAATGGTTATTAGAGCTGAATAAAAACAAGAAGAGAAAAAACAAGAATAAAGCCCAACTTGATAAACCAGTGCTATAAAACGAAGCTGAATTTTCAGGTTAAAATTACATTAAAATCACATATATTAAAGAAACTTTAGTATCCCTTGAAATTTGTTCCTAATGGCAAATAAGCATCTTTCTGTGAGTCATAATTTCAGAGGAATTTGATGATATAACATATTTAAGAAAAATAATAATGCTATATTATTATTATCATTAAAATGATATATCATTTTTTTCTTCAAATAAAAATAGAATAATGTCAAGAAAGGTCTGTTTTATTGAAAATCCCCTCTTAGATAACACTATGGAATTATATTAAAGATCATGTGTGTGATGGCTGGAGCAGAGTGGTAAATGAGCAGAGACAGTCTCATATTCTTTAAAAAAGATTATCTTAGACCTATTGATTGTTAGTAGTTGATAATATTGTTCCAATTTGCACTGGTAATTACCAAAGTTTCTAAGAATTAGCAGAAGAGAAAGGTATCTTTCCTCATGAACAATGACATAGGCTCTTTGGTTCTGGTTTTTAAGTAGCTTTTCTCCTATTTGATTCTTTGTGTGACAATGTGGATGTCCTTCCTGCAAGGATGATTGGGAGGCAAGTTGGACTGGTGCACCATTTTCTTGTTTGCTGGAGCTAATAGATCATTGCCACTTGGACCATCTTTCTCAGTAAGAACAGAGGAGGGCCAGCATGCTACTCTTATAGTAAGCATGGGGAAAATAGAAAGACAAGGAGCAAACTAATTATAAAAAATCAATCCATCATAGCTACTGAAAAATGACACTTTAGGACAAATGGAATAGGAAAAAAAGGAACCTCTGACTCTCAGAACCAGGAATGATGTAGGCAAATACTAGAGTACTAAGGAATGGATTTACTCATTCAAAATCATATAGGATATCTGTCTGTCTCTGACAATAGGCAATGAAGATCACTGGGTAGTCATAATAAGCAGTCATGGAGTTATGGTTTGATTAACAGTGTTGGATAGCAAAATCTCTGTTTGCTTACTTGCGAACCTCCAAGTTTTTATCAGAACATACAATCACATTCTTTTGATTCATTCAGTTATTCAGTTCTAGTCCCTAATTTATTGGTTATACTATGAAAATACTTAACCACATTTAATCACAATTGAGTAACCTGTCCCTAGCTATTCACAGACTTAAATTTCTACAGGATTTAATTAGTAAGTTGGTCTTGCTGAATCATCTTCCATTGACTTGTAAATCTAAAAGAGTTTTGATCTGAATAATGATGGAAGGACCAAAGTAATTTTGATTAACCAGGTCTGACTAAATAAATTGGAGTTCTGACTTTTGATCTAAAAGAGATTCTTATTTTCTTCATAGATTTTGCATTTTTTAATGCTGTTTGACATTGAATGGAGATGGCAAGTTGTGATTTCTAAGAATAAAAGGCAGTAGAAGATTTATATTGATACTAAAATATAAAAATACAAACATAAAACTTGTATTAAAAATAACATTAAATGTATTACATTACATTGAATTTACAAATCATTTTTTGTCTGGAAAATGGTTTCCTATTGAGCAGTCTGCTCAATAGCCTCACTGTCATTTTCCCTTTTTTGCCTTATAAGAAATGTTTTGACTAAGAGTCTAGATTCAGGTCCAATAACATGGCTTCTTTTCTTAGGTTTCCCTTTCATTAATAAGGCTTTATTAGGCTACTTGTCTCTGATTTGCCAAGATGACTCATTTTGTAGCAAAGAACCGTTAAAGCTTCCCATCATGATTTTATAATGAAGTCTTGACTTCTTGTTGTTCACTTGCTGAGTCGTGTCTGATTCCTTGTGACCCCATGGACTGCAGCACTCCGGGCTTCCCTATCCTTCACTATCTCCCAGAGTCTGCTCAGACTCAGAGTCCATTGAGTCAGTGATGCCATCGAACCATCTCATCCTCTGTCAATCCCCTTCTCTTCCTTGCCCTCAATCTTTCCCAGCATTAGAGTCTTTTCCACTGAGTCAACCCTTCACATCAGGTGGCCAAAGTACTGGAGTTTGAGCTTTAGCATCAGTCCTTCCAATGAATATTCAGGACTGATTTCCTTTAGGATTGACTGGTTGGATCTTCTTGCTATCCACATGACTCTCAAGAGTCCTCTCCAGCATCACAGTTTGAAAGCATCAATTCTTAGGTACTAAGCCTTCTTTATGGTCCAACTCTCACATCTGTAAATGACTACTGGAAAAATCATAACTTTGACTATATGAACTTTTGTTGGCAGAGTGATGTCTCTGCTCTTTCTACACTGTCTAGGTTTGTCATAGCTTTTCTTCCAAGGAGCAAGCGTCTTTTAATTTTGTGGATGTAGTCACCATATGCAGTGAATTTGGAGCCCAAGAAAATAAAGTCTGTCACTGTTTCCATTGTTTCCCCATCTATTTGCCATGAAGTGATGGGACTGGGTGCCATGATCCTAGTTTGTTTTTTTTTTTAATGTTGAGTTTTAAGCCAGCTTTTTCACTCTTCTCTTTCACTTTCATCAAGAGGCTCTTTAGTTCCTCTTCACTTTCTGCCATTAGAGTGGTATCATCTGTTTATCTGAGGTTATTGATATTTCTCCTGGCAGTCTTGGTTCCAGCTTGTGAGTCATCTAGCCTGGCGTTTCACATGATACACTTTGCGTAGAAGTTAAATAAGCAAGGTGACAATATACAGCTTTGACATACTCCTTTCCCAATTTAGAACCAGTTTATTGTTCCATGTCCATTTTCAGCTGTTGCTTTTTGACCTGCATACAGGTTTTGCAGGAGGCAAGTAAGTGGTCTGGTATTCCCATCTGTTGAAGAATTTTTTAGTTTTTTGTGATCCACATAGCCAAAGACTTCAGTTTAGTCTATGAAGCAGAAGTAGATGTTTTTTTCTGGAATCCCCTTGCTTTTCTATGATCCAGCAGATGTTGGCAATTTGACCTCTGGTTCCTCTGACTTTTCAAAATCCAGCATGTACATCTGGAAGTTCTTGGTTTATGTACTGCTGGAGACTAACTTTAAGGATTTTGAGCATTACTTTGCAAGCATGTGAAATGAATGCAACTGTATGGTAGTTTGAGCATTCTTTGGAATTGCCTTTCTTTGGGGTTAGATTGAAAACTGACCTGTTCCAGTCCTCTGGCCACTGCTGAGTTTTGCAAATTTACTGACATATTGAGTGCAGCACTCTAACAGCATCATCTTTTAGGATTTGAAATAGCTCAGCTGGAGTTCCATCACCTTCGCTAACTTTGTTTGTAGTGATGTTTCCTAAGGCCCACTTGACTTCACTTAAGGCCATGACTTAAGTGACCTTTGTTTTTCAGTCTATTCCTCTGTCTTCACTAGCTACTTAATTTGGCTCAAATCAAACACAAATGTTCTTAAGAATCATGCCCCTTGAATTTTTAGAGCACTCATGGGTAATACAAGCCAAAATACTACTGCCATTTTTCTCCAGCTATATGTGTTTAATAGAAAACATAGATGAATAGGCAAGATGTTCACTCAGAATTTTAGTTACTATGTTCCAGACACAGTGATAAGCATTTTAAATGTGCCATTGTGCAGTTATCCTCAAAGTAGTCCAGTAGGATAGACATTACCCATTGATTAGAGGACCAATACGCTTAGAATGGTTGAATAATATTCCTAATGTTATCTGATGAGTATGTTTGGAGTTTGGAATCCATAAGCTTTTATGCATTTCCTCTTAGGTGTATATAAGTGTAGGGATCTGAATAAGACATGGTTCTTGATTTAAAGATGTTTACACTCTTAGTGGGAAAGAATAAGGAAGCTATATACATGCAACTAAAACAAAGGTAGAATGTATAAATGCTACAATAATACAACCTGTTATTAACTTCTGATGATTCTATAAGTAACTTTATAACTTAAGCTTTCAAATTAATTCAAATAAAGTCAATTAAAATTCTAGCTGTGAAAAGATACAAAATGTAGGCTTTACCAACTTTGACCATTCAAGCACTGTCCCGTCCAAAAGTGATTGCTTTGTGATTTAGGCCTCAGTTCAGTTGAGAGGACTATTTTCCTGCTATTGAGATGAATCCATCAGCCTTTTTTCCTCTGTTCTCTTAAACCAGTCAAATTGAATAATTAAATCCTTATTTGAGTCTACTTTTACCAAGAATGGTTTTAATTATGAAATTTTTTTACCAATTAACTTGCCTATAAGGGAAAGATAGCCTGACCCAAAGACTCGCTCCTTAGTCATGTAAGCAGTTAATGACTTGAGGTTTAGATTTAATAAACTTTTAAATCTTATGAATATGTTAGTCTGGGTATCCACCAAGGCTGACAATTCAAACTGCTGCTCCTTCACGACAATGCTAGTGTCTAACGTAATTACAAGGAGAATTATTGGCGAGGCATTCATTCTTCCCTGTGTCAGTCTTCTATAGATTTTCATACATGATGCCTCTTTCTATGAGTGCTTTTCAATAAAGTGTCATTGAGGCAAACAAGTAGAAGTACTATTTTATTTTAATTGGTCTAAAACAACAAACACAGATTCATAGACATGGCATTTGATATGGCTCTTGAACTCTGGCTGAGATTTCAATGTAAAATGAAGGCCAGTCAGACAAAGAATACCATTATTAGTCTACCAGTATTAGTCTTATTTCCCATTATTAACATTAAAAGTAGATAGCCAAATGTATTTAGAATGGAAGGAAATGGGGATGCAGAAGGAAGGTGATGTCTCCACTTAACAGGTAGAAACAAATGGAGGCTCAATGGTTTTGACTCCAGCTAAGAAATTGAGTGTTTCTGGGAAATGAGTTGTCAGAAATTGACAACTTTCCCAAGTTGTAATTATGTGAGAGGGAGGGGAAAGGACTGGAGAAAAAGAAAGGCAGAGAGAGGTTATTGTCTTCTCTGCCAGCATCACCTAGGATATAGCCAATTTTAATCACAAAGGCAAAGCTGAAGCTCACCCTTCTCTGGATTTGAAAAGCAATAGATGCTGTTGGATACAGATAGACTCATTCAGAGTTGTGGTATTTGGAAAACGTATTACCTCTTATATAAAAAGATATTCATCTTTAAACTTTTTCCCTTTGTAATGCGATGTACCAGAATATAAGCCTTAATTATGAGTATTCGCTGTCAAGTCTTAGACTACTTAATTTCTAAATCTCACTGATTGTTATAAGTATCTTGTTTTTAATTTTTTTGTTAATGGCACCATAATCATCTTGACTAAAATAAAAATGAGAATTTTTCCATAGTCAAGTTTGAGAATTAATTCCAAAGCTGGATAATACATTGTTCATGAAATTTAAGATGAAAATAATAGAGAATTTATTTTATAAGCTATATTATAGATATTAAATTATATTGATATGAATGTTTTTCAAATTAAATATTAGTAATTTTTCAATTATATTAATATATAATGGAGAAAGTATTTATTTTAAATTTATTTTATTTTGAATTTAATTTAAAAGTTCATAAGTATTTTTTGAATATGTTTTTTAAGCTAAAACAAATTACTTCCTCTTTTCCTCCCAGATGCAGGATCAGGATCTGGAGACGGAGGTAGGAGTTGCCTTTTTATATATTGAAAGATTTACATGTGGATGTTACTTGTGGATATTTACTTATATATTTGTCATTACATATATCTAAGATGAATTCACATTTTGCATTTTAGGAAAGGGAAAACTAAAAACAAAATCATTCTTCTTATTGAGTAAATGTGTATACCATGTAAATTATTTGATATATTTATGAATCATACTTAAGAACTTTTTCTATCTAATATCCCTATTCATTTATACATTTGCATTTGAATTAACTTTGAGATAAACCTGAATAACTGAACTTCATAATAAGCCTCCAAGCATATTTGTCAGGACAGAATGCTCATAGAAAATCATTTAAATATTGTTTTTTTAAAATACATAATGACAAGGTATTGATACTAATACATACATAGCTATTATGTAAACAGGAACATAATTACCAAATTAATAGTTTGAAACTGAAGGAGCTTTAGTTCATTAAAGAAAAATAAAAAAGATAAACTTTAAGCCAGTGAAAATAAGATAATGTCTTTACTTCTTTGATTAATCTATAGTTATTTTTACTAACACAAGATATGTTTTCATGATTTAGTTGTGTGTTTAAAGAAGTATATAAGAGATAGGCAGAAACTTTCAAAATTTTATATGATATACTTACTGCCAAATAATATTTTACTTATGGATTGAACCTTCACTGTAAATTTCCCAAAATGCTTTTCCAGTTGAAATTCAAACAAAATTCTATCTTTATTTACAACAAGAAAAAATAGAAACAACTAAATATAATTTCAACAAGAATACTGAAAAGAGAATGAAGAAAAACATAAACATTCTCTCAGGACCTTGCTTAAGTTATATAAAATGATTAAATGCATGTTTCTATTAAACTTTATTTTTTAGTGAAGAATTTGATAAAAGATGAGGAAAGAAGGTGTTGGAGTCAGGAAAGTCAAATTTTACTGCTTACCTTATCTGGTTTGGGCAACAGTTAGAGATTTATCAAAGGTGTAACTAGTTCAAATAAGCAACACCCAGATAATAAAATTAGAGCAGCATATTGGAGCACAGTTTTTTTTCATAAAGACTGAAATTGAATAGGAGTCATGATTCAGTACCATGAGAGTATGAATTTATTTCCATATCACATGACATTAGACAGTCATTTGATATTAAGATAATCTTACTGTTTCTAAGAAATTATTTTTTCCTCTGGCTGATTAATACAATATTCCTAAGAAAGCTTCCCTGCAAGTTTTGGAAAGATGAGCTTCTAAGATCAAGCAAACTTTAAAGAGAAAAAGGAAAAAAGTTTTTTGAGTAGATAGTTCACTATCAAACTATTAAGAAATCCATCAGTTTGTTAAAATGTCAATTTTGGAAGGGAGCAGTTCTATGAAAAATTCTGCATTATTTACTGGCTACTTAGTTTTATGTGTAGACTACTTAATTTGAAAGATATTATATTGTTTCAACTGTTCCACTCTTCACATGTCTTATTAATTTTTTTGGCATCTTTAAAAACAAAACACAGAATTATTTTCATTGCTCCTTTTGTTAAAGCATCATGGTATACTTTTTTCTAATTGAGTCTTTTCCTCATATCATACATCATTTCATCATTGTTTTCAATAATAAGGTGTAGTGGGTGTATCAGATACTAGTTGCCAGTTTTTCCTTCATTGTATTTAGCACATGCAATTGACAGTAAAGTCAACCTCACTTTTCCTTGTTGAATTCAAGACTGAAATATTAAGTTCATTATTTTTTCCTGTGATCTGTATAAGGCGATTTTTTTAAGGAAATCACTTTAATTTCATGAATAAGACATTTATAACTTAAATTTCATATATTAGTTGCACACTTATATTCCTTTGTTTTTTCTCCTTTTAAAAAATTTCTCTTCCTTTCAATTATATGTGCTTTATATTAACTTGGAGGAAAAATAAACAAAGCAACTTCTTAAGACATAATTGCTTTGAAAAGAAAATAAAAGCATATAACCCATTTAATTCTGAGCTGTATTCTTTATAAAGAGTGGTTTTCCTGAAAGTTGTGGTAAATGAGTATTTACTCCCAGCTGTTTGTTTTGTTTTTAGTCAGAGACTCAATAGTTTTTGTTTTGTTTTGTTTTTACTTGAATTTATTTTTTCTAGTCTATGTGTTCTTTGCTCTGAAATACTAATGGTTTTAATTTTCCATATTTTTTTAACTTTAGTACAAAATTATAGAAAACTTAATAACTAGAACCTAAAAGCATAGTTTAGAGTGACCTGCACAGTTCTAGTTCACATATTGATTGGATTATATGGAAAATATATTTAACTTGCTACCTCTGCTATATAAAGGATGGACTTGCTCTGTATTCTGACCGAGTTCCTATTACCAAGATATCTAGAAAAGCCAGAATCAATTCCCTTTGAATTAACCAGAAGTGATTGAATTACCTATGATTAGTTAATCCAACAGTCCTAGTTAGTGATTGTCCTAACCAGTCTCTATAGGATATATTCTCAATAACATGTATTTGGTTAATAATCAGGGTATCTTTGCAAGCACTTTGGATAGTTAATGGTTATTTTTCTAATTTCTTTTAACAAAAGTTAATATACTTCCGAAATGTAGTGCATTGATCTGAATAGTGAAGTGAACAGTTTTATTTGGAAAACACATATGTGTGACTATCATAAATTATATGGTTAAATCAAATCCAAATCCAAAACACTTTATAAATACATAAGGTTTTACTTTTTTAGATTGTCCTGCATTCTTAAACAAATAAATTTTAGCATTGAATGTTAGACCTGATTTTTTTTTAAATTAAGTTTAACTTATTTGCACAAGGATATATCTATCATTTATTGCACTTGAGGAAACATTTTTACAGTATAAAAGGGATCTAAATGTTTCATAAAATTTATGCTAACTTGTTTTTGTATGTTTTATAGAAGGTTTAACTATCTTTAACTATTGATCTATTTATTTATTAAGGAAATATTAATATAAAGAATAATCTTGTGTTATTAGTTTTGAGTGAAACACCAGCTGTTTATGGAATTCTCTGTTTTCAAGCAAAAATGTTTAGTTGAAAAGGCATCTTCACCAAATAACCATTTGGATAAACTCATACTTGAAAAAACAATTCAGGTTAAACTATAATTAGCTATATATGTGTCTGATAGAAAGGTAATATGTAGTAAAGTGTGGACAAAATTCCAAAGAATTTCAGAAAGTAGTAAAAAGAAAGGGGTTGGTGTTTCAAGTACTTATATATATGAAGATAATGTTGTAAATAAGAAAACGGGTGTGTGTAGGAGGGATAATAACATCTTCTCCACCCACGGACTTCCTTAAGCAACAAACACTGCAGTGTGAAAGAAGTATTAAAGGAGCCTCTTCTCAAAATCTAGGGCTGTGTGGGTGGTTAAGGGATAATTTCTAACACCTGCTCTTATTTCAGAGTCTTTCAGTCATATTATAAGATAAGACCATGAATATTTTCCATTAAACTTAACATATATTTCTGGATTAACTAGACTTCTGACAGATTCCTAAAAACAAAAACAAGTCCTGAAAAAAAAAGTATATTTTAACAATTAAAAGAATGATAAACATATTATCCTGCTAGAAGTCTGGAAGAATTCATGATTAAATTTTAATAACATCTTATGGGAAGTTGTATGATAATGTCTATAGAAACAAAATGTCTCTAAGATATACAACATGGATGCAATGGATATATTTTTAATTCATGAGGTAAAATGAAGCTCTGGGGCTTCATACAACTTATACAATTATATAGTTTTAAGAGATTTCTTTAATAATTTAATGAAGAGATTAATGTCAGATATGTACAGCAACATATCAAATTAAATTTATATCTATTAGTTGTATAAAGTCTGATTTTTATTTTAATAATCCAGATAATAGCTATTATGATGACTTTAAAGCACAAAATAAGTTATGCTGTGTTTTATTTAATGCAAAATTGTCCTATGCAGATTATCTTTGTATAATTTTACTTGGATATACATAATTAAGACATTTATTTTGTATATACTTTGGCTAGAAAAAGAAATATTTATATTACAACTAAATGTAGACCCTAGGCTGTTTCTGATCATGTAGATTGCTAAAAACCGGAAAACAGTGTTGTAACAAGTTTGAGAACTGAAAAATTATTTTTAAGCAATTCTTAAATTTCTAATGTGGATTTGATGATATTCAGGAATTACGCTGAATTGAACAAGCCTCCTATCAGCTGGAGACCCTGACAAGGTTTCTGGAGCTCTAAAGCTGAATATGACACAGTTCTTTATACTCAAGGAGATTTACATGTAAATTCTTTTCTTAGCACGCAATGGGAAAATTATGATTCTAATTATCAAAAGAGAAATAATCCCCTGTAGAAATAAAATGTTAAGTATACTATAAATAACAAGGAACTGAATGTTCATTCCATGAAATATTCTTATATCAGGTTAAGTAATTTTTCTTCCACTTTGCAATATCAGTTCCCTTTCTTGATCTCAATCTGTACCTCTCCACCTTACTGTCATAGTCAAGTTCTGGCAGATACAGTGTGCTTCACCATGTGTTTTCTCTCCTGGGTACACATTACAGCCAAAGTCTGACAGGCATCAGTTGTCAGCAACCTCATCTGAAATACTGATTAGTTGAAAAATTCTACCATGTACGCAAAGTTTGAGATTTTTCCATGGCAATACATACAAGGAGGAAGCAGAAACTGCTCTTGCTTTTGCTGTTCTACACCTTAGAGCTGCTATTCTGACTGGAGATGAGTTTATAGACATCTGAACCATAGATGAAATATATCTCAGGTTTTCATGGAGTAGAATCCATTTTGCTTCCTTTGTAGCTCAAAGAAAACCAATATTGTGATGGAGTGATGAAATAAAGGTAGGATGAATGAAGATAATGGATAACGAAAATGGAAAAATAAAACAAGCAAACAAAAGGAGGAAAACAAAGTGAGAATGGAAAATGAAAAGGGAG